TCAGTCAATAATCATGGTCTATTTTTCAATATATTTTGGGGTCTTGGTTTACTTTTTAAAATTAGGTTATTTTTTCCTTAAAGTTGTACAATTTGCATTAGATTTATTCCTAGATATTTCATATATTTTACACTATTCATGCTTTTTAAAATTTCATTTTCCAATGGTTTTGCTAGACAATTCACCCTTTATTGTCTTTCATCTGGCTACCCCTTCTGTCCTTTATGATCTCGCTGTGGACATGAATGACCTCTATGTGCTCAATCATACTGTCACCTTTCAGGCTTCATTTTAATTGGTCTCTGAGAATTTAGCACTGCATTTGTGCATTATCCTTGCTGTCTCTGGATATTGTTCACGAATTTCTTAAGTACCAAGGGTACTGCTGGCCCAAAGATAACATGTCCGTGTCCCTTTGGATACCGTCAGAATAGCTGGACTAACCTTTGTGCATTCGGGAAGATTGACCAAGAAGGATTTTGGAGTTTGTCGTTGCTCGAGTCCAGGCTCAAGCACTAAGGAGGCCTGCAGTGCAGGGACTCTGTGGCCTGAGGGCACAAAGGTAGTCACGTTAGAAATCTCTTCTGTCTCCTGTACAGTAATCCACAAATGTATACATTTGACCTCCAGCCTTGATTAGTTCAAACTCACATATTGATTCAATTTAAAAATATTTACTGATAGAATATAGTTCCTATGAGGGCAAGTTCGTTAATGGCATTATTATTATCTAAAACTGTCTTCATTTCACTTTAATCCTGAAGAAGATTTTCTCTGGATGTAGAATTCTATGTTGGTGGCTATCTTATTTTGGCATATTAAAGATGTCACCTACTAACATCTAGCTCGATTCTTACTGAGAATTTAGCTGTCAGTCTAATGATCTTCTGAATGTCTTTTGTTCTCTGGTTGCTTTTTTTTTTTTTGAGACAGAGTCTCACTGTGTTGCCCCGGCTAGTGTGCCATGGCATCATCCTAGCTCACAGCAACCTCAAACTCCTGGGCTCAAGTGATCCTTCTGCCTCAGCCTCCCGAGTAGCTGGGACTACAGGCATGTGCC